TGGTTCAATTTTTTACCAGTTTTGTGGGTTCAGGAACGGGTTTCTAGTAAAAAGTTGAAAAACATGAAAAATTACTATATATTCGTTTAGGTTCTGGAACGGAATTTTTATGTCGTCTTTTTATACACTATACAACTATGTTGTCAGGATATCATAGCTTTGTGCAGCTCCAAGAGTTTGTAATTGTTGGACCAAATACTTAATTTTTATCGTTTTTTTTCTGGTCGCTCCAGAGACCACAATTATGGCCCGAAAATCGCGAGATTTTACATGGAGAAGAGGATCGGGCCAAAAAAATAAGCATGCCTGTTTAATAAAGATAGGTCATTATTTAGCGGGTCAAATGGACCCTGCATTTTGTGTAAAAAGTTACAAAATTGTTATTCTATAGCGTATATATTTGCCCCTGAAGGACATAGACCCGAGAAGTTGATAGTATATCCACGAGGAGTGGTTGGCCTTTAAATTGATACCAATCGGATGTGGTAGTTACACTTAAATATTTACAGGTGCTTAGTAACCAAATATAGCACTGATCGCTTTGAAAATTTCCATGAGGATCCAGGATTGGTCAAGGATAATTATCGTTGATGATCAGATAATAATTTTGGCAGAATTTAACCGAAAACTTAATTTTTTGTGTGTTTTTCGATTCGATCCATAGGTCACAATTCAAAGCCGAACATACAACACAAGCCACGGTGAAGGGAATCTGAACAAGTAATTAGACGGGCTGTACTGAATATTAGTAATATTTGTTGAACTCTAGTCGGTCAAGAGGCTGCAACTATCACGAAATATTGTCCAGGTTCGGAATAAAAATCCGCAGAAAGTTAGAGTTCCGTGGTAGATGTGTAGGGTATCGCATGGTAGGCCCGCCAGACTTTACTGCTCCGCTCACTGGGTTTTAAGTAATATCGTATTTGGAATATTTGGAATGGTTTGAATTTTTTATCCGATATTTCCTTCTCTCTTAAAGTTTTTACCCCATATATAAATAACGCACAGTATATTTCAACAACAACAACAACAATTTTCGTTGAGGATATTATTATAATTGTTATTGCTATTCTTTTTGTCGTTCTTTAATTTTATGTGTATTGTTTTGTGAATGAATTTCGGTTTGAATTGGATTTCGTTTTTTTTTGTATTGAAATACGATATCCTTCCTGTATCCCCGCGACAGGACAGGCTACAGGTTCGCTGGCTGGCTGACTGGCACACATGGTCATTGTGGTTAAAGTGTAAAAAATTTTGCAGTATTATTTAGTAGGAATTCAAATTGAATGCTGGCTAAAAATTTTATATCCGTAAAATTCTTTGAAGCGCATAGGCGGCAAATACCCTACAATGGGTAATTAAGGAAAAGGTCAGGGGTTTTGTGTTTTTGTAAACCCCAATTTTTTGGTTGATTTACTTGGAACAGCAATAAACAAATTAATACCTTTTATTATTTCATTATACAAAAAAAATATATTTAAAAAAATATTATGGGGCGTATTTTCCGTTTTTTGAAAAATCATTCAAAATTCATTCATGCCTATCACCGCTTTTCCAAACAACAACAGCAACAATTCATTGATTATACTTTTTGTTTCCTTCATCCCCAACTTGCATAGTAAATTTTCTAACAATAAATTGTATGAGTATGTGTGTGTGTGTTCGCTTCTAAGTTATGAACAATTTGGTAGTGTAATAAAGAAATCACATAGTCCGAAAATCCATCAAATTAAAATGCCACAAATTAACAAAGTAGTAAAAATGTCATCGCACCAATTTATCAAAAGCTTTGGAACGATTTTTTGTTGTTGTTGTTTTTCATTTATTCGCTTGAATTCCTCCATTCGAGGAATGTAACCGAATTTTGTGTTTGTTATTTGTTAAGATTCAAGTTCACAAGTAATTTAACGCCAAACGGGCTGGGAAATTTGATGAGCAGCCACCCACAAATGTGCACACTCCCCATATGGCGATCGTAGTATGTATGTATGCATGTAGCTGACGCAGCAGAGACAACAACCAAAGAGGAAATTGTTGAGCAAAAAAATAAAACAAACGAAACAAAAATAAAAAAAAATTAGAGGTGTGCTTCTATAATTTATACACAGTGGGACAAAAAAATTGCAGAATGAGAATTCACAAAAAAAAAAAAAAAAATTGTTAAAAAACGTGCCCAAAATATAGAATATTAGGGGGTATGATTATAACAGACAATGTGTTTGAACAGCGTGCCCCAACTCCCAAAAATACGGCTATTAGGGGGTACTGTTATATAGGATTTACCCTGAAACTATTATTTATTTTTATTATTTTATTTACTATTTATTTATTATTATTATTATTTTTTTTGATGAGATTTTCCACCCTATGAGAATTTCATAATAAAAAATTACAGCCGAAGACGTACCCAAAATCTCCGAAAATACCCAATATTTAGGGGTACCGATATATTAGAGCTTTACCAAAACGTGTACCCCGATATATTCCATTTTCAATACCAAACATCATACGAATAGTATCAATGTGTGTGTAAGATTTTAAAGCTCTATATTAACTAGTAGCATATGCCCCCTATTTCTTCACTGTAATAAAAACCCAATACCGACCATTATTAAAATTTTAGAACCATTTTGTACTTATGTTATCATATAGTAAGTATTTCCAAAACTACCTCCATATCTCAACCCTACACACCAATTCTGACCGCAACAGAAATCTAGCTCTATAATAAATTTGGTATCATTTATTACCCTTCGTACTTTGTAAATTTCCAAATTTCAAATATAGGTTCACCCAAATCCAAATTTAGTACAAGTTAGTACACATTAATAAAAATTTCCATAACTATATACTTTAAAAATCATAAGTACGAATTTCCCAAATACACCAATCGTAATTTCAAATTTCAGGATTCTAACGGTTCATCTAAATCCAATTTTTATCAAATTTAGTACGATTTAGTACACATAACTACAAATTTCCATTACTACCTACAACATGCAATCCAATGGAAATCAGTATTCCAGCTCTATCGGGTCACTCTTAATACAAATTGTACCAAATTTAGTGCCGTTTAGTACACATTTCCAAAACTTCCTACATACCCAAATCCAACACATCAACAGTGATCCTAACTCAAGATGTCAATATTCTAGCTCTATCAGTTCACCTAAATCCAAATTTGGTACGATTTAGTACACATTAGTACGTATTTCCAAAAGTTTCTACATACTCCAATCCACCACCCCTACAAGCATCCTATGTCAAAATTTCAGGATTTCAGCTCTATCAGTTCACCCAAAATTCAAATTGTACCAAATTTAGTACCCATACGTATGAATTTCCAAAACTACATCCATACCCCAATCTTACACTCCAACGGTAACTTTATTTCCAAATTTCCATTTCTATTGGTTCGCCTAAAATTTTAATTATACCAAATTTAGTACACATTAGTACGAATATCCAAAACTTTCTACTAAACCGAATCCTACACCCCAACAGTGATCCTAATGTCAAATTACAAGATTCCAGCTCAATTGGTTCAGCCAAATCTACATTTGGTACCATTTAGTACAGAATTCCCAAACTTCATACATTGGTTCAACCAAAATTTAAATTGTACCAAATTTAATTCATATTAGTAGGAACGTCCTAAATAGCTCAATTCTAACCCCAGCAGTGACCCTAACTCCAAATGTCAAGATTTCTGCCCTATCGGTTCACCCAAACCCAAATTTGGTACCATATAGTACACATTAGTACAAATTCTCAAAATTTCCTACATAACCCAATCCTACACCACAACAATGATCCTAAGTCAAACCTGAGGATCCCAGCTCTATCGTTTCATCCAACATCAAAATTGTACCAAATATAGTCCCGTTAGTACTTTTCGTACTCATATGTATAAATATCCAAAACCACCTACATATCCCAATCCTACACTCCGACGGTAATATTAATTTCAAATTTCAATATTCCAGTTTATCCGTTCATCCAAATTCAAATTGTACCATATTTAGTACCGCTTAGTACTTTTCGTATATATAACTAAACACTTGCAAAGCCACCTCCTAACATCGACCCTACATATCAACTTTGATTCGTATTTCAAATTTCAAGTTTTTAGCTCTATATGTGAACAGATAGATAGACAAAATTGTACCAAATTTAATACGTTTTAGTACTTTTCGAGTTTCCAAAAACCCTTGGTACATCTACTTCGCTTTTTGTGCTGGGCTAAGAACTTTCCGAACTGCCCTCGTACAAATAGTACTATATATAGTACTTTTTAGTACGAATTTCCAAAACCCCAACCTTTTCTGACACCTTTGGACTAAGAGTGACCCTCACCCAAAATTTGAAGATTCTAGCTCCAGCCGTTTCGTTTGGGCGTAGATGAATCGTTAAGTCAGTCAGTGAATCACTTTACTCTGATATAAGTATAGATTGCGAGCTATATCGATATTTTAACAGGTAGACGTCTTTGAATCAAGAAAATATATTTCTTTAGTGGGTCTTGAACAAGGTATTACAAATTCAATATACACTACACCTTATGATGGAGGTCATAAAAATGTTATCCATTGTGTATAAAACCACTCATCATCTATTATTTTGGTATTTTATTTATTTTGTATTATGCTGTCCTTATATGAATTTCGCTCAGTGTCCCCAAACATTCCCCTTTATTGGGTTGAACAGTCTTCACAATATCTTCCCTACATTTAGTTTCTATAAAGAAATACTCTCCGATCGTTTCAACCTCATACATTCAACACTTGTTGAAGTAGTTTCTTAAGTACCCCCCACAATCACATCTGTACACAAACACACACATACACCTACAATTATGCATGCGCCATCATAATTGATATACAAAAATTTAAACTTTGAATACCGTAAATATTTGTGCATATTTCATCATCGACACTTCTGCTGCTCATTGACCTTCCATGAAATTAATGTCCTGTTTTGTTTTCATTTCCATTTCATTTCAGTATGGAACTCAGTTCGGTGATCTTGCAAATATCCTTCCTTATAATATTCGGCAAAATGTTGGCATTTGGTTTTGTCGGACCCGAAGAACGTAAATGTAAATATTTGCGGGTGGAGAAGTTGCTGAAGATTCGCTGTTTCGATATGAATCTGAAGGAGGTGCCACAATATCTGAAGTCATCGGTGGAGGTAAGTTTGAAAAAATTGTATTTTTTATAACATTCCTATTTTATTTTTGTAAAATTCAAGTGAATTGCAACCAACAATTTGTTAAAAAAAAATGATGTTTGATTAAAAAACAAAATAATGAAGTGTCACGACCAAGGTGTTTGATGTAACTCGAATTCGTTCGATTCGAATTTTACACAAACAGTCTAAAAGGGGGGAAACACATAAGAGGACTTCAGGCCGGGCCTGTTTAGTTGGCTTTGTGTGGAACATGATTTTTGACACCGTTCTCCTTTACAATAAAAACAGTCAACTTAACAGGCCAGGCCTGTAGTCCTCTTAGTGTGTCAAGCTTAAGATCATTTTTTCTAATATACTTTTTTGTATACTAATTCATTTTTGTTGAGCATCGAATGCAACCATAAAGTGGCGTGCCTTAAATTATAGTATTTCGAAAAATTGTGTTTATTTATCGAGTGTGTAATTTCAGTCGGATTTTCGTTGCTGTTGCTGTCGGATATTGTGTTGTGTTGCATTTCTGATGATAATTGAATTGAATGATATTCAATTATTGTCATTATGTTGAATTTAAGTGGCTGTTAACTTTTGTGAACTTGATTTCTATGTAACTGTGACTGATGTACGCTTATTAAATGAATGAACATACAGACGAACATAATTATTGAATATGCAGCCAAAGTGTCGGCCCTGGCTGCGTTATTCTAGTCTGTCGTTCGTCGTTCATCATTTATGGGGGATTTGCATTTTTTAAATTAAATGATGGAAAAAAAGTATATTGTATGTCATAGAATCACAGAGAAAAGAGAAATGTGAGGACTTACACATAGAGGGAGGGAGTGATATGAAAATAGGGAGTGATAGAGCTTTGGGTTGCTTTTGTTTTTGGGTGTATCTTTAATGAAAATATATAATTTCAAAATATAAAACTAGCTTAGATTGAAAAAACAATGTCTACAGACCTCGTTGATTGTGTCATATCTAAGGTAATGTGAATTTTTGACATAAGTAATGGTCAAAGTAGTAAAAACGTCGTTATGTTCAACCCGGCCAAACTATTAATACCCTCCACCACGAGCTGTGCATTCAAAACTATTTTAAATTAAATCTGTCAAAAAATTCAAAAAAAAAAACTCACGTTGAAAAATTGGAACAGGAATTTCAACGCGTCATTTGTATAGAGGCTATTTTAAAACATTTACCTTCATATATTAAATAATTTCTCGAAATATATATTTTTTTATTCACCAGTATTACGATATCCCAAATTATGGTCACTTCGATGAGAAAATACAATTAAAAAACTTTATAATACCGAATAAGGTGTGGGACGCTTTGTGTTCGGCCTATATAGAAAACTATGCCCTTTCAGACAATTTTCCGCACAAATGTGTTTTAACCTTCAATGTCCTGGAATGCCGAACCGACTAAAACACTCAAAATACTGGGGTGCTACACTTTTGTTTATACCAAACCTTTATACCAAATTACGGCCAAATTGATGGAAAATTCAACAGCATTCCGATATGCCAAATAAAAGTCACTTCGATGAGAAAATTCGCATACAAACTTAATAATATCGAAATGGGGCTGAACGCTGTATGTGGGGCCTATATAGAAACTGAAGACTTAGACCAATACAAATTAAAAAAAAAAACACGTCTCTGATAGAAAATTCGGATAAAAACTTAATAATATCCGAAAATGGGGCGGAACGCTGTATATGCTTTATATATGGGAAAATATGTCTAGAGGCCTTAAAATACTGACGGGGTGTTATCCTTATATGGAGACTATGTCATAACATGAACCAATTTCTGTATGAAGGCTAAAGCCTTCAAAATACCGAAAATGGATGCGTACAATTATATGGCAGCAATACGAGAAACCAAAACCGATATTGATAATATTTAATAGGATGATTTGAAACCCAATGAGAAGCTGAGTAATCCAATTAGAGGCAATTCGGTTGGAAAAAACGTATTACCCCCCCCCCCCCCCCCCCAAAATACCGAATATTGAAGGGTACTATTATATGAAGACTACCCGGAAACTTGGAACAATATTAATAATTTTTCTTAGGGAGACTTTAATTTTTAATAGGACAGTTTTAAACCCCATGGGAAGCTAAATAATCCAATTGCAGGCAATTCGGTTGAAAAACAAACCTCTTACCCACCCTCAAAATACCGAATATTGGAGGATACCATTATATGGAGGCTATCTGAAAACGTTGACCAATATTGATAATTTTTGGTAGGGATATTTTCCAAAATATCAAATTTGGTTGAAACAAGTGTGACACATTTGGAAGAAAATACCGAATATTGGGTGTATGGCGATTTTAAACCCCATGAGAGCCTGAATAATGCAATTTGAGGTAATTCGGAGGCTACCATTATTTGAGGGCTACATGAAAATGTATACCAATATTTAAATATTTTTTGTAGACATACTTTCTACTAAATAAGAATCCAAAATATCAAACACCTGGGCCAATTTTTAAAGTTGTTGGTAAGGGAGATTTTCTACACAATGACAATCCAAATTATAAAATTACAGCCAAATTGATTGCAACCCAAACTCCGCACAATACCGACTTTTGGAATGGAGCGTTATATGGGGGCTAACCTAAAAAGTGGAACAATATTGATAATTTTTAGTAAGAAAATTGTAAACCTTGTGAGAATTCAAAATTTTAAATCAAAACTAATATTAAATATTAAATTACAACAAAGTTTCAAAAAACCTAATATTTGGGGAGGTGTCGTTTGATAGGGAGATTTTTTAAACAATGACAATTAAAAATATAAAATTATTATACAGTGTATTTATATACAGTACACATTATGATGGATGGTAAAAATATTGAATTGTTCATTGCATTCCCTGACAAAAAAGGAAAGTATTGTAGAAAAAAAATACTGGAGCTTAGTTGTGTATTCAAGACCCTGATAACATATTTTTTTTTAATTTCTCATGGTAAAATTTTACAAGAGAAGGTTATCCAGAAAAAATACAACATTCAGATATGAATATGTGTGCGTTTTTCTCTCGCAAACATGGCCATCAATTTATTTCAATGAAACTAAATATGCTGTGATGTGCACTCTCACACGAATAAAAATTTCCGAGGTTTTATGATTTTTGTGTTTTTTTTTTGTATTTTTTTGGTTTTTGTTTTGTCAGCGTTCTTCATTTGTTTTTTTTTTCTGGTAAATTTCAATAAGCATTGTCTGCTATTGCTTATACTACTGTCCCAGCCATGCCATGCCCCTAGCATAAATGAGGCTCAATTGATCTTAATTGCTAAATAATACCCCCTTTACTTTGTTTTGGGAGTCTCGATGCAAGTCTGGTTTAAACTGAGTCTTGGTTGGCTACTGTTTTTTTTTTTGTGAGTCTGTATTTGGATCATTTTATTTAAAAAATGAAGTGGGAGTTCCATTAGAAGAACAAAGTTATGAGGAATTGAAAAAATTAATAAAATTAAGTTAATTTTAAATTATACAAGACCACATGTCATTTGAAACTTCTCAAATTTATTATGAATCTGAACTCTACAACAATTAAGAATTTAAGGTTGAATAACCATGTTGAACGCATATTATATTTACTGCTATTAGGCATTTAGGGGCTGAATTTAGATATTTATTCCGTGATCTTGGAAGTCGATAAACATAATTGCAGAAAATATGTTACCATCATTTTAGGTATTTTTAAAGTTGTAGTCTTATTTTCCAATCGAAGAGGATGGAATGTAGCGTTCTTGAAGGGTGATAATCGAAAATTTTCGACATCGGTTCATCTTTTGACATACGGTATAGTCGTATTTCCTCAACGAAAAAAATTCTTTAAAAAACCCCATTTCTATGACCATGCCTCCGATGCACTTTAATATTACTCTTTAAAAGATACACGCCTCTAATGGACATTTAACAAATATTTTTTTTTAGGAAATTCTTACATTCAAATCAATATTCTTTCAGGCCTCTGGTAGATATTGAAACAATATTCGTTAAAAACCACGCCTCTGACTAACTTTGAAAAATATCATTAAAAGAATCAACACCTCTGATAGGCCTTGAAAAAAGCTTCCTTAATAAACCACGCCTCTGATAGTCCTTGAAAAAATATTCTTTAAAAAATTCGCGCCCCTGATAGACCTTGAAAAATATTCTTTAAAAAACCACGCCTCTGATAAGCCTTGACAAAATGTTCTATAAAATATCCACGCCTTCAGTAGACCAAGATAAAATATTACTAAAAAAGACCACGTCTTTTATAGACCTTAATAAGCCTTGAAAAAATATTCTTAAATAATCCACGCCTCTTTACTGGACCTTGAAAAAATATTCTTAATAAAATCCACGTCTCTTTTTTGTACCTTGAAAAAATGTCCATAAAAAATAGACCTTAAATAATATTCTTTAAAAAAATCCATGCCTCTAATAGACATTGAAAAATATTCTTTAAAAAAATCCACGCCTCTAATAGACATTGAAAAATATTCTTTAAATAATCCACGCCTCTAATAGACCTTGAAAAAGTATTCCTAAAAAAACACGCCTCTGATAAACCTTGAAAAATATTTTTAGAAAAACACCACTCCTAGATTGACCTAAAAATAAAATATATTTTTTTTTAAAAATCACGCCTCTGATAGAATTTAAATAATATTCTTTGAAAAAATCCACGCCTCTAATAGACCATGAAAAATATTCTATAAAAAATTCACGCTTCGGATGGACCTTAAAAAGAATATTCTTTAAAAATGCACACCTCTGATAGACTTCGACAAAATATTCTTTAAAAAAACACGCCTCTGACAGACCTTCAATTCTTTTCTTTTAAAAATCCACGCTAAGTGAGCCATTGCAATAAATTTAACTTCAATTATTTTTTGTTAATTAATTAATTTGAATTATTTATGTTTATTTCCTTCCAGGTCTTAGATTTATCCTACAATCGCATTAAGAAGCTAAAGCGCAGCTCATTTCAGCCATACAAAAGCATTAAATATTTACTGCTCTATGACAATATGATACAGTCGGTGGAACCGGGTACCTTCTCACATCTGACATCACTACAGGTAAGGGATCAGCATTGCATTCTAATAAATTAAAAAAAAAAAACAAAAATGCAAAATGTCAATTAAGAAATCAATGTAACGGTTAATTAAACAAAATAGACAATTGAATTGGAGGAGGTGGAATAAAAATTCACATAAACATTAACAAATCAGCACAGGGGACATGCAATTGTCAAATTGTGAAAATTTCGAAAAAACGAAACTAACAAATTTGTTACACGCCACACACACACAACTAATTATGACACTTCTTGTCAATCATCATCATCAGCGAGTGATTTTTTTTTGCGAATAACTCACATGAATGTGGAGTTCAATTAACTTTTGTTACAAAATTGTAATAAAATTTTTATTTTTTTTCGAAATTACAGGAAATTGATTTATCAAATAATGGCCTATTGACAATACCCCTGGAACTATTACAACTGCCATCGCTGAGAAATTTGTACATAGACAGTAATGAGCTAATACATTTGGAACGTGATCTAGAGGCTCTCGATAGGCCAATTAAGGCCCCATTGGAATATTTAAATGTGGCCGATTGTGGTCTACAGGATATACCCGATTTGGGTATATTGCCAAGTAAGTTTGCCTTTAAGGACATTTTAACAATTGAAAACTAATTAAACATTTGTTTTTTTTTTCAGAACTATGGCACATTAATGCCTCCATGAATCCTTTGATGGACCTCAGCATAGATCGTTTTGCAAATATGTGCAATTTGAAAAGTATCGATTTGACAAGGACGAAATTGACGCAATGCCAGTGTCAACAGGCCAATAATCATCTGAGGGCCTTGTCGGTTAAAACGAAATTTGTCCCGGTTTGTGTGGGTAAGTTCAACAGAAATAGATTTAAGATTATTTTTTTGAAAGAAATGTTAAAAAAAATATATTAAAAAAATGGGAAATGGGAAAATACCACACAAAAATTCAACCCAAGTTCTCAAAAAAAAAAAAAAATAATAAACAGTTTTTAAAGTCCCTCAAAAATTATTTGTAAATCCATGTCTTTAAATGTCCAAAAGGCTTTTTTTAAATCCCAGTTATTGAAAATCCCTCAAAAAGCCAAGTTCCATTTTTGAAGACAAGTCCCCAAAAAAAATTAAATTTTTAAAAAAGTCTCTCATCAAAAAAATTATGTTTGAAAATCCGTGCCATTAAAAATTTGTCAACATTATTTTTTTTAAATCCATGCCTTGAAAATCCCTCAAAAAATTGTAGAAAATCCATTAATTCTAATACCTCTAAAAACCATGCCTCTCATAGACCCTCAAAAATACATTTTTTTTCATTTCATTTTTAAAAAATCCTGAAAAATTTTTCTAAAAAAATCCACGACCCTCAAAAAATATATATTTTTTAAATCCACGCATGAAATGTATTGTTTAAAAAATCTAATTTGAAAATATACTTGAAAATATTTTTAAGAAAAATCTACGACCCTCAAAAATTATTTTTAAAAACAGTCCACGTCTGAAAAAAATTTCTAAAAGATCCATGACCCTCAAAAAATTTTTTTTTTAAAACAAAGCCTAAATATTTAAAAAAATACACGACTGAAAATATTTTCTAAAAAAAATCACGAACCTCAAAAAATAGTTTTTAAAAAATCCACGCCTGATTTTTTTTTCAATCCACGACTGAAAATATTTTCTAAAAAATCCACGACCTAAAATAAATTTAAAAAAAATCTACGCCTGATTTTTTTTAAATCTACGCCTGATTTTTTTAAATCTACGCCTGATTTTTTTAAATCCACGCCTTTATTTTTTTAAATTCATTCCTTAAATTATTTTATAAAACCAGTAAGGAAAAGAGTAAAGTCGGACGGGGCCGACATCAACAGATGAATCCTAACAGGCGTCGTATTTTTAAAGGACCAGTAAAATGAAATTAGATCCATAAACATGTCATTCTGCAACCGATACTAAATTTTTCATTTGGTCAGACATAGAAGCTATATCTAAATCTGAACCGATTTCCAGGAAACTTAACACACATCATTCTAGGCCTAATTCATTACGCTGTGCCAAATTCCGTGCCAACCGAAAGATATTAAGGGACTTTGGTGCACCATTTACATTAAATAGAACGAAAATATATATGGGAGCTATATCTAAATCTGGGCCGATTTTCAGGAAACTTAACACACATCATTCTAGACTTAATTTAGTACGCTATGCCAAATTTCGTGCAAATCGAAAGATATATAGGGACATTGACTATTTACCTTAAATCGGACGAAAATGTATATGGGAGCTATATCTAAATCTGGGCCGATTTTCAGGAAACTTAGCACATATCATTCTGGACTTAATTCAGTACGCTATGCACAATTTCGTGCAAATCAAAAGATATATAGGGACATTGACTATTTACCTTAAATCGGACGAAAATATATATGGGAGCTATATCTAAATCTGGGCCGATTTTCAGGAAACTTAACATACATCATTCTAGACCTTATTCATTACGCTGTGCCAAATTTCGTGCCAACCGAAAGATATTAAGGGAGTTTGATGCACCATTTACTTAAAATCGGACGAAAATATATATGGGAGCTATATCTAAATCTGGCCCGATTTTCTCGAAACTTAACACACATCATTCTAGACTTAATTTAGTACGCTATGCCAAATTTCGTGCAAATGGGGAGATATATAGGGACTTTGGTGCCGATATCGAAGGAAAATATTTATGGAAGCTATATCTAAATCTGAACCGATTTTTCCCAATTTCAATTGGGTTCGTCCTTGGGCCAAATAAGTGACCTATGCCAAATTTCATCCCAATCGGATCATAAATGCGACCTGTACTTTGTTCACAAAAATACATGGACCGACGGACGGACGGACATGCGTAAATCGACTCAGAAAGTGATTCTATGCATATTCTCAAAAGGAACCATGTGTCTATCTCGTTTTCATTTGCCTGTTACAAACATATGCACAACGACATAATACTCTGTACCACAGTGTGGTGAAGGGTATTTTTTTCAAAAAATTCACGTTTTTAAAAAATTCACACCTTTGAAAGTCTCTCAAAAAATATTTAAAAAAAAATCCTGCTTTTGAAAGTCTCTCAAATCTAAAAAAAAATTAAAAAAAAAATTACGCCTTTGAGAGTCTCCCAAAAATTATTTTTAAAAGATCCACCCTTTCAGAGTCTCCCAAAAAATATTTTGAAATAATCCACGACTTTGAGAGTCGCCCAAAAATATTTTTTAAAAAAATCCACGCCTTTGAGAGTCTCTCAAATCCAAAAAATATTTTGAAAAAATCCACGCTTTTGATAGTCTCTCAAAAACTATTTAAAAAAATCCACGTCTTTGAGAGTCTCTCAAAAAATATTTTTAAAAAAATCCACTCCTTTGAGAGTCTCTCAAATCCAAAAAATATTTTTAAAAAATCCACGCCTTTGAGAGTCTCTCAAAAAATATTTAAAAAAAAAATCCACGTCTTTGAGAGTCTCTCAAAAAATATTTAAAAAAAAAATCCACGCCTTTTAAAGTCTCTCAAAAAATATTTAAAAAAAAAATCCACGCCTTTGAGAGTCTCTCAAATCCAAAAACAAATTTAAAAAAATCCACGCCTTTTAAAACCTCTGAAATGTCAAAAATATTTTCAAAAAAATCCACGACTTTCAGAGTCTCCCAAATCCAAAAAATGTTAAAAATCCGCGCCTTTTCAGGGATGCACGCATTTTCAGATACTCTTAAAAAATATTTTTTTAAATATCGACACCCTTCAAAAACCTTAAATAATATTTAAAAAAATCTTCTTCTTCCCTTTCAAAAACCCTCAAAAAATATATTTCAAAAATCCAATCAGAATTAAACTAATTTTTTTATTTTTTACCTTTTTGGTGGGTTGTAGGGTATCAGTGATCCGATTAATGCCTTTGTTGGTTCCGTTTTATTTAATAAATTCTATTTTTTTTAATTTATTCATAAATAATTTATTTTTATTGTTGTTTTTTCCTCTCACTTCCAGACACCTTGGATCCCTCCGTCTGTCCACTGCCATATAATTTTACCATCGATTCGGAAACATTTCACACATGCAAGACATCGGTGGCGAAAGCGGAAGCTCGTAATCTTTGGATGTTTGTGGCCGGCTGTTGTGGTGGCATTCTGGTCGTAATTCTATGTAAGTAATAAAAAAAAACTAAATAAAATTATTGTTATTATTATTAGGGTTAGAATGAAAGGTGTAACTAATCGATTTTTTCGTCTTCTTTTTCTCTGCACAGTGGTCTGGTATTGCATACACCGTAAACGTAAGCGACGCAACAAGAAATTACGTGCCGCCCAATTGCATCGCAAAAGTTTGGTGATTTCACCGAAAAATGCCATCAATAAAAAAGAAATGGAATTCCATTGTAATCACAACGATGAGCTGTTGTGCTGTGATACTGCCTAAGGATAACAAACACACACATATATACACAAATACGATAGATATAAGAACAAAAAAAGGAGACCAGAAAAAAAAACAATCCACAAAACTGCTTAGTGAATAAATCAAGGACATGTGCCTCCAGACAATAAGTGCCTCAAATATATTTATAAATAGTTTTTAGTTGTAAAAAAAAAATATTTTTTAATTTATTTTCTGTTTTTTCGTTTTTGCTGACTGACAGTCTGTTAAGAAAATGTTTGCATGGAATCATTTTTTTTTTAGTTTACATAAATTATTTTGTAAGACAAAACTGAATTTTTTTTTTGTGTAAATAATTTTTTTTTTCTTGGAAATTATTTTTATTTTTGCAAACATTTTCTGGGTAGACTGTACCAATTTTTTGTATAGTAATAATTAGTAATATTTGTTTGTAGTATTAAAAAAAATATATATACCAAGTGCCAGACAAATACAGGGTGTTACAAAATAAGTTTAACACAACTAAATGCATAATTAAAAAATAGTAGGTATTTATTGGAACACCCTGTAGCAAAAACCATAATAATAAATATGACAATAATTTTTATTAATTAATTTATAATTAAGCTAATTTTATTTTAAATTGTGTCTTTGTATTATATAACTTGATGAAATGCAAGCCAAGAAAAAAAAGCCAATCGCAAAGGTGCCTTATCTAAACTAAGTTATACAAACATATTTTTTTAAGTAACTGCAATTTTTTTATTAGTTTTAATTTTATTTTTTTGTAGTTCAAAATGTGAGAAAACCAAACTACTATTATTACTACTACACATACCTACAAACATATACATATACATACATTAATATTTTAATTTATCCATTTTTTGTAAGTTTAGTGAAATCCCCCCACCACAATTGCAACCACCACAACTACTATTTTTTTTTAATTTTAATTTTGTTTTGTTAGAAAACTGAAAAGAAAACGACTTAATAAAATACAACTGAATATATTTAATTTTTTTCTAAAACTTTCCTTTTTGTATTCTATTTTTTATTTTATTGGAGGGTTGGATTGAAGTGGGACGCTATGTATGAGCGAGCGCTGGGTGGACATGTCGTTGATGGCATGTCCATAGCGAAGTCAATGTGTCATAAACAGTTCAATGTCCTTAATGCATTATGCCAATTTAATAACCGAACAGAATATACCGGAATATTCCAGAATACAGAGGCGGAGGATAGAGGGGAGGGGGTTAACAGTATAAACGAAGATTTTTTTAGAGATTTTTTACGACCAACATATTTATTCAGGGACTTCAATAAGAATTCTTTTTAAAGAATCGTAGACTTTAATAAAAAAAATTTAACAAAAAAAATATTAAAAAAATATTTGTTTAAGACATACCATGAGTCATATGAGAGTATTTTTATACCCTTCACCACACTGTTGTACAGGGTATTATGTCTTTGTACATATGTTTGTAACAGGCAAAAGGAAACGAGATAGACCCATGGTTCCCTTTGAGAATATGCATATAATCACTTTCTGAGTCGATTTATGCAAGTCCGTCCGTCTGTCCGCCCATCTGCTGGTGTTAACTTGCAAACAAAGGACAGGTCGCATTTATAATCCGATTTGGATGAAATTTGGTACAGCTCATTTGTTTGGCCCAAGGACGAACCCTATTTGGGAAAAAATCGGTTCAGATTTAGATATAGCTCCCATATATATTTTCTTCCGATTTAAGGTAAATGGTGCACAAAAGTTCCTAAATATATTTTGATTTGCACGAAATTTGGCACAACATACGGAATTAAGTCAAAGTTTCGTGAAAATTGGTTTAGATTTAGATATAGCTCCCATATATAGTTTCGTCCGATTTTAGGTAAATGGTGCATCAAAGTCCCTATATATATCTTTCGATTTGCTCCAAATTTGACACTGCGTACTGAATTAATGCTAGAATAATGTGCACTAAGTTTCGTGGAAATCGGGTCAGATATAGATATAGCTCCCATATATAATTTCGTCCGATTTTATGTAAATGTTGTAAACAAAGTCCCTAAATATCCTTCGATTTGCACGAAATTTAACACAGCGTACGGAATTAAGTTTAAAATTATGTGTGCAAAGTTTCGTGAAAGTCGGTTCAGATTCAGATATAGCTCCCATATATATTTGCATCCGATTTGATGTAAACGGTGCACCAAAGACTCTAAATATCTTTAGATTTGCACGAAATATGGCACAACGTACGGAACTAAGTCTAAAATGATGTGTGCTAATTTTCGTGAAAATCGGTGCAGATGTAGATATAGCTCCCATATATAGTTCCGTCCGATTTTATGTAAATGGTGCATCAAAGACCCTATATATATTTCGATTTGCACAAAATTTGGCATAGGGTACTGAATTGAGTGTATAATGATGTGTGCTAAGTTTCGTGAAAATCGGTTCAGATTTAGATATAGCTCCCATATATATTTTCGTCCGATTTTATAGGAATTATGTAGCAAAGTCCCTAGATATCTTTCGATTTGCACGAAATTTGACACAGCGTACGGAATTAAGTCTAGAGTGATGTGTGCTAACTTTCGTAAAAATCGGTTCAGATTTAGATATAGCTTCCATATATAGTTTCGTCCGATTTTAGGTTAATGGTGCATCAAAGTCCATATATATCTTTCGATTTGCACGAAATTTGGCACAGGGTACCGAATTGAGTGTAGAATGATGTGTGCTAAATTTCCTGAATATCGGTTCACATTTAGATATAGCTCCCATTTGTATTTTCGATGGATTTTAGGTAAATGTTGTACCGGTTTACACGAAACCTATAAAATTGAGACAAGAATGACGTTTTTTTAATTGGTGCAGATGCAGCAGAACTATGTTGTCAGGGTATTACAGCTTTGTGCAGCCCCAAAAGTTTGTAAATGTTGCACCTAGACCCACTTTGAGTATAGCAATCGTCATATTTCGACTAGCTGAGTCAATCTACCCATGTGTGTCCGTCCGTCTGTTCATTATAATTTGTAAACACAGTTATGTACCAATTTTAATGCAATTCTGCACGTAGGACAGATCGGTTAATATTTCGGGGATGAGCTGGACCAAATATTTAAAGTTTTTCTGGTATCTACAGAGGCCGCAATTATGGCTTGAAATTTTCCATGGAGAACGGGTAAGGAATAAGCATGACTGTTTTGATAAAGATAGTACAATATTTAGTGGGACAAATGGATCCTGACATTCGTGTGAAAAATAATTTGGATTCTATGTCGTATATATTTATTCCTGAAGGACATAAACCCGAAACTTTGATAATATATCGAAGAGGATTAGTTGACCTTTTAATTTTATATCAATTATAATGCTGTATGTGCTCGGATGTGGGAGTTACACTTACATATTTACAGATGTATTGAGATGTTACTTAGTAACCATTACCCATGCTAAAGAGCGGAAATTTAGCGCTGATCGCTTTGAAATTATCTACGAAGTTCCAGTTATGGACAAGGACAACGCCAATCATGATCAGATAATGTTGGGATGAAATGGACCGAAATTTTAATTTTTTGTATTTTTTGAATCGCAGTTATAAGCGGAACATCACAGCGCAACCCACGGTGAAGGGAATCTGGACAAATAATTAGAAGAGCTGTACTTAATATTGATAATATTTGGAAAATATGCCAGTGTAGGGAAGAGCTGCTAAAGACCACTAATCGAGCAAGAGAGCGAAAATATCACGGAATATTGCCTAGGTTCGAAATATACATTCGCAAAAAATTAGAGTTCCGTGGTAGTTGTTTAGGGTTTCTTATAGTCGACTCCGTCCGACTATACTGCTCCGCTATTACTATTTTTGAATTCTATTTCTCTTTCATATTTTATTTTCGCATTTCGAAACAATTTGCTACTCGTTTTTTATGCAATCAACCTCATTGAAATATTATTGTTAAACCCTAAGTTTCTTTGGATCATATTCCTTTCAGGCAATTTAGAGTCGTCTGTCTGGCTGGTGTGCAAGATAACCGAGTAACCGATTAGATCACATCATATTTTTTTTTTTTTAAATTTAATCACGTTCCAAGATGGGACCCCATCGGTCGGCTCCTTCTTCTTGTCAACCACCCCCACTAAATTGTCAATATTTTGCTCAAAATTAATTCTATAATATCATGAGAACGGACTATCTGATTTGAACAAATCATTGCACAACCATGCTTGCATAATGTTGGAAGATGGGACTTATCTCCGACTGATTAACACTTTTTTTTAATAATCAGCATTATTTAAAATTGCGGGGAACTCTTAAAAGTTTAAGGGAATAATATGGGTAAAATGGTAAACTTGACATCACTTATTTAAAATAGTGGTTCGTATATTGACTTCAATTCAAATATATCATGTTCATAGGTTTTAGTAAAGTTCCAAACCATTGTTAGATTTGCCGTAAAAACGTTTAAAAGTAGAAATATTGGTTCTGCTATTGAACGGTAGGTGTCACCATGATCGAAAAAGAATATTCAGCATGATCATGTTATAGATGTTTTTATACACTTAAAAATACGAATTTAAGGAGATTGATTGCTTTAGTACCAATTTTCAGAATTTCATATATACCCCAATTCTGCACCCCAACAGTGACCCTAACTCCAAATTTACAGGTTTCCAGCACTATCGAATTCAAATTGTACTAAATTTAGTACACTTTAGTACATATTTCCAAATCTACCTACATATCCCAATCCTACAATCCAACAGTGAACCTTAATCCAAATTTCAGGATTCCAGCTCTATGGTTCACCTTAAATTCGAATTGTACCAAATTTAGTATACATAAGTACGAATTTCCCAAACTACCAACATACGTTCATTCTGCAATGCAGTAGTAATCTTATGTCTAAATTTCAGTGTTCCACCTCTTCCGATTCATCTAAATCCAAATTGTACCAAATTTGGTACACGTTAGTAAAAATTGGTCCACCAAAAATTCAAATTGTACCAAGTTTAGTACACATAAGTACGAATTTCAAAACGTTACATAGCCCAACAGTGATTATAACTCCAAAATTCAAGATTCCAGCTCTATCGTTTCACCCAAATTCAAATTTTGTACCATTTAGTACCAATTTTCAGAATTTCCTACATATCCCAATCCTACACGTCAACAGTGATCCTAACTCCCAATTTCAAGATTCTAGCTCTATTGATTCAACCAAAATTTAAAGTGTACCAAATTTAGTACACATAAGTACAAATTTCCCAAACTACCACATACCTCCATTCTTAATTTCGAATTGTACCAAGTGTCGTAACATTTAGAACACGTTAGTAGTAATTTCTAAAATTCCTACGTATCCCCCAATCCTACACCCCAACAGTGATCCTAAATACAAATTTCAGGATTCATAAGTACACATAAGTACGAATTTCCCCAACTACCAACATACTTCAATTCGTCAATCCAGTTTTATTTCCTTATTTCCTACATATCACTATATTACACCCCGGATCAGGATTCCAGCCCCCCATTTGTAGCTCCAAATTCAAATCTTACCAAATATAGTACCATATAGTACTTTTTGTAAATATGAGTACACGTTTTTAAAACCATCTGCTCATATCGACCCTACTTCTCAACCTTAATTCGCATTCCAAATTTCCAACAGTAATTTTAATTCCAAAATTCTGGTGTCCAGCTCTATCCGTTCACACATAATGAACTTGTACCAAATATAGTACCATTTAGTACATATAAGTCCTATGCTTCCATATCTCAATTATTTTTCTAACAGCAACTACTATTCCAAATTTTAGGTATCCAGCTCTTTGCACATTCACCCAAATCCAAATTGTACCAAATCTAGTGCCGTTTAGTACTTTTCGTACACATAAATACGAATTTTCAAAAATGTCTCTACATCTGAATCTTCAACAGTAATCTTAATTCCAAATTTCAGGTTTTCAGCCCCTTCCTTTCAAGCAAAGTCCAAATTGCACTAAATTTAGTACCATATAGTACTTTTCGTGCCTACGTAACTACGAATTTTCCAAACTACACTCCAACAGTTATTTTAATTCTCAATTTGAAGACTCCAGCTTTATCTGTTCACCTAAATCCAATTTACATCAAATTTAGTACCATTTAGTACTTTTCGTACACATAAGTACGATTTTTTTAAAGCTACATCAATCCTGTACTCCAATAATAGTCCTAATACCGATTTTAAGGATTCCATCTCTATACACTCAACTAAATGCAAATAGTTACCGAATTTAGTACCATTTTGTATTTTATACACTTAAATATGAATTTCTTAAACCATTTCCATACATCAACACCACGTCCCAGCCTGTATTCCATATAAAGTAAATTTTAGTACTTTTCGTACCCTTCTAGTTCGAATTTCCAAAAACCCAGCCTTATATCACGCCTACACACCTACAACAATCCACACTCACTTTTAAATCCACACCAGCAAATTTATTCAAAACTTTTTTATAAAACCAGTGAGCAGTATAGTCGGACCGGGCCGACCATACGATACCCTACACAACTACCATGGGACTTTTTGCAGATGTTTATTCTGAGCCTGGCCAATATTTCGTGATAGTTGCAACCTCTTGCCGATTAGAGTTCAACGGCACCTCTTCCTTACATAGACATTTTTACGAATTTGACTAATATTCAGCACAGCCCTTCTAATTACTTGTCCAGGCTCCCTTCACCGTGGGTTGTGTTTTGATGTTCGACTTTCAATTGTGGCCTATAAATCGACTCGAAAAAAACACAAAAAATAAGTTGTCGGTCCACTTCATCCCAATATTATTATCTGATCAACACCGAAAATTATAGGCGTTGTCCTTGACCATACCTGGATCCTCATAAAAAATTTTAAAGCGATCAGTGTAACTTCCACATCCGAGTACGTACGACAATATATAATTGGTATCAATTAAAATGTCAACCACTCCTCTTGGATATACTATCAACTTCTTGGGTCTATGTCCTTCAGGGACAGACGGACGGACACACATGTCTAGATCGACTCAGCTAGTCGGTATACTTAAAGGACCAATATTTCGCGGCGTTACAAACTCATGGGGCTGCGCAAAGCTATAATTTTTGTAATTTTTCAGGGTCAGGGACCACTTGACCCACTAAATATGTACCAATCTTTATCAAAACAGGCATGTTTATTCTTTGACGCGATCTGCATCTCCATGTAAAAAATCGTGATGTTTGGGCCTCTGGAAGGACGAGAAGAACCGACAAAAATTAAGTATTTGGTCCATTTGACTCGCTAAATATTAACCGACCTTTACCAAAAACAATAGGGGTCTTCATTGGCCAGAACCCATCCTACATGCAAAATTTCATGAAGATTGGTCCATAACTGTGGCCTGTATCGTGCTTACAAATTATAATGAACAGACGGACGGACACACATGTCTAGATCGACTCAGCTAGTCGGTATACTTAAAGGACCAATATTTCGCGGCGTTACAAACTCTTGGGGCTGCGCAAAGCTAAAATATCCTGACAACATAGTTGCGTAGGGTATAAATACACTCCTTAAAAAAGTCCTCCAAAAAAATATATTTTTTTTTTCAAATTCAAAAATATTTTTTCGAATCCAATTCTCCCATCTCTGCCACGCCTCTGTCCACCATTCCCTAACATGTTGTAATGTGTCAATTCCATATTACACGTATCCCGATACACTATCCCGACAAACATGTATACATACCCACATAAACAAACGGTTGCGTGCACTTGCACATAAACGAACCGAACATGGAATCCCGACGAATTTGGTGCTATCCCACAGGAAAAATGTAGTTGATGAAAATGAAATGAAATCGACATTTAGTTCACTGGAAGTCCTTAACCTGTTTAGAATTGAAAAAAAACACGGAACGGATATTCGAAAAACGAAAATGATTTTAAAAGCAAAACTCCTGTGGCTAATTGTTCCCCTCTATCTGCTGGCCGTTTTGGATGAACTACTCTATACGGAGGCCTACATGAACAGCGTACGCATCGAAGAGATACCCTTTGCGTTGACAACAATGCGTCACAGTCGTAATCGTAGTCAAAGTGCCCTCAAGCGACCCCAGGAGGAGAGGCGAAATATATATGCCCTGAAGCGTTTGGATCAACATAAGGGATTTTTGAAGATTTTCAATATTCCATGTAAGTATCTCTCGTTGCATCGCGGGAGAGATAACGGAACAAATTGGTCACTGCCGTCTACTATCGTTTATGTCTTCGTTTAGATATAATTTGCTTTTTTGCTGCCAAAGGCAAATGGCCGTTTATACCGCCATTTATGCAAACTCAGGTCAATGCTGCCGCGCGGACATTTTTCAATCAAAACGATAGTTCGATAAAACAGTTCTGTCAGAAATGGATACAAATTAAAGAATGTTTTCGTCCGATATTTTGTAAGTAGTCATTTGAAGTTTTGTTTCTTATTGTAATTCGGTGTTGTGTGTTTAGTATAAGGTATTTGTAAGATGTTAATGTGGAGATTCGAAAAAAAATTGAAAAAAAATATTTGAAAAAAATGTCGATAGTCCAGAAAAAAAGAAAAACAAGGAATTAATGCTCACTCTACGAAAACTTCGCCGCCGTTATGCTACTCAAGGGGTCGACCATATGATAGAGTGGATTTATCTAAGGTTGAAGTAGTGAAGTTCTATCGTTGTCAGGGTCAACCTAAGGATCCACAAATCTTAAGTAAAATTAGGCCTTAGAAAAATATTCTTTAAAAAAACCCACGCCTCGTTTTGGTCCGTAGAAAAATATTTTTTTTAAGAAATTCACTCCTTTCTGCTCTTCGGAAAAATACTTATAAAAATCAGTCCTTTCTTGGTTCCTGAAAAAATCCACGCCTTTGGTAGACCCTTGAAAAAATATTCGTTAAAAAATCCACGACTTTGGTAGACCCTTGAAAAAATATTCATTAAAAAATCCACGCCTTTGGTAGACCCTTGAAAAAATATTCTTTAAAAAATCCACGCCTTTGGTTGACCCTTGAAAAAATATTCGTTAAAAAATACCTTGAAAAAATATTCGCTAAAAAATCCACGCCTTTGGTAGACCTTCGAATAAATATTCGTAGACCCTTGGAAGACCCTTGAAAAAATATTCTTTAAAAAATCCACGCCTTTGGTAGACCCTTGAAAAAATATTCTTTAAAAAATCCACGCCTTTGGTAGACCCTTGAAAAAATATTCTTTAAAAAATCCACGCCTTCGGTAGACCCTTGAAAAAATATTCTTTAAAAAATCCACGCCTTTGGTAGACCCTTGAAAAAATATTCTTTAAAAAATCCACGCCTTTGGTAGACCCTTGAAAAAATATTCTTTAAAAAATCCACGCCTTTGGTAGACCTTCGAAAAAATATTCTTTAAAAAATCCACGCCTTTGGTAGACCCTTGAAAAAATATTCTTTAAAAAATCCACGCCTTTGGTAGACCCTTGAAAAAATATTCTTTAAAAAATCCACGCCTTTGGTAGACCCTTGAAAAAATATTCTTTAAAAAATCCACGCCTTTGGTTGACCCTTGAAAAAATATTCGTTAAAAAATACCTTGAAAAAATATTCGCTAAAAAATCCACGCCTTTGGTAGACCCTCGAATAAATATTCGTAGACCCTTGGAAGACCCTTGAAAAAATATTCCTTAAAAAATCCACGCCTTTGGTAGACCCTTGAAAAAATATTCTTTAAAAAATCCACGCCTTTGGTAGACCCTTGAAAAAATATTCTTTAAAAAATCCACGCCTTTGGTAGACCCTTGAAAAAATATTCTTTAAAAAATCCACGCCTTTGGTAAACCCTTGAAAAAAAATATTCTTTAAAAAAATCCACGCCTATTTTAGGTCTTGAAAAAATATTCTTTTGTAAAATCCACGCCTATTTTAGGCCTTGAAAAAATATTCTTTTGTAAAACCCACGCCTAATTTAGGCCTTGAAAAAAATATTGTCTAAAAAATCCACGCCTATTTTACTCACTTACTTAGCTAGCTTGTGACAGAACTTTTGTTGCATAAGCCGAGCTTAGAAAAGATTTCCAGGTGCATCGGTCTTTTGCGCAGTTTTTCAAATTTGAAAGACCATTTTCGGCGTTATTGTATTCGACTTGATCTTTCCATCTTATTCGTGGCATTTCCCTTCTGCGTGTACCATTAGCTGGTTCGCTTTTATATGCCTTCTAGGCTGCGACATCTTCATCCATTCTCACAACATGACCTAGCCAACGTAGTCGCTGCAGCTCAATACGTCTAACAATGTCGATGTCCGAGAATAGCTGATACAATTCATGGTTCATTCGACGGGGATATTCACCGTCAACGCAGATCGGCCCATAGATCTTTCGGAGAACTTGCGTAAGTACCCATGCCTCAGATCCGTATAACAGCACGGGTAGTATCAGCGTCGTGTAGAGTGTGAGTTTGGTCTGGCAGGAGGTGGCCTTGCTTTTGAGTTGTTTGCTCAGACCATAGTAGCATCGGTTGGCCATCACTATCCTTCTCCGAATTTCAAAACTGGTGTCATTCGTTTTATTTATGGCGGTCCCAAGGTATATAAAATCTTTGACTACCTGGAAGCTGTAGTACTCAAGTTCCACAGTTGGTTCAATGTTGGACGTCTTGCGCGTTGATACCATCAGCTTGTTCTTCTCGTTGTTTACTGCCAGACCCACTTTGACAGACTCCTTCTCAATTTGTTCAAAGGTGCCTGTTACCGCTGTCAATGTTGGACCCATTATGTCGATGTCATCGATGTAGGCGAGTAACATGTGTTGTTTGGTGTACAGAGTGCCATTTCTGTTCACTTTTGCCTCTCGTATGACCTTTTCCAGCAGGATGTTAAAAATGTCACACGACAAACTATTACCTTGTCTGAATCCTCGTTCGGTATTGAAGGGCTTCGATTGGTCCTTTCCGACTTTAACTGCTGATCTTGTGCCAGTTAAAGTTATCCTGCAGGAATGCCAAACGCAGACATGGCTTTATAACCTCTGAACGGCTAGGGCTGTCAAATGCGTCTTTATAGTCGACGAATAGGTGGAATGTGTCGATGTGTTTTTCGTGGGGTTTTTCCAGGATTTGGCGCAGAGTGAAAATCTGGACAATGGTGGATTTGCCAGGTCTGAAGCCGCGTTGGTATGGTCCAATAATGTCATTGACCATTGGCTTCAGTCGTTCACACAGTACGCTGGATAGCACTTTATATGCGATGGGAAGAAGGCTAATTCCTCTATAGTTGACACATATCGTCTTGTCTCCTTTTGTGTGCACGGGACACAGGATGCTGAGGTTCCAATCATTGGGCATGTATTCTTCTAGCCAAATTGTACTAATCAGCTGGTGCATGCTCCCGACCAGCATCTGACCACCAGTCTTGAATAGATCGGCTTGTAACCCATCGGCACCTGCTGCGTTATAATTCTTCAGCCGATTGATTGTTATTCTGACTTCATCTTGGCTAGGTGGTATACACTCTATACCACGCCTATTTTAGGCCTTCAAAAATATACCCTGAAAAACGTACGCCCATTTTAGGTCTTCAAAAATATACCCTGAAAAACGTACGCCCACTTTAGGTCTTCAAAAATATACCCTGAAAAAAATGTAGGCTTTGAAAAAATATTTCTTAAAAAATCCACACCTATTTCAGGCCTGGAAAAAATATTCTTTTATAAAATCCACGTCTATGTGGCTTCTTCAAAAAATATTCTTTTATAAAATCCACGACTATGTGGCTTCTTAAAAAAAATATTTTTTAAAATACCACGCCTATGTGGCTTCTTGAAAAAAATATTTTTAAAAAATCCACGCCTATGTGGCTTCTTGAAAAAAATATTTTTTTAAATCCACGCCTATGTGGCTTCTTGAAAAAAATATTTTTTTTAAATCCACGCCTATGTGGCTTCTTGAAAAAAATATTTTTTTAAATCCACGCCTATGTGGCTTCTTGAAAAAAATATTTTTTTTTAAATCCACGTCTATGTGGCTTCTTGAAAAAAAGTATTTTTTAAATCCACGTCTATGTGGCTTCTTGAAAAAAAAAATATTTTTTTAAAAAATCCACGCCTATGTGGCTTCTTGAAAAAATATTTTTTTAAATCCACGCCTATGTGGCTTCTTGAAAACAAATATTTTTTAAAATACCACGCCTATGTGGCTTCTTGAAAAAAAAATATTTTTTAAAAAAATCCACGCCTATGTGGCTCCTTGAAAAAATATTTTTTTAAATCCACGCCTATGTGGCTTCTTGAAAAAATATTTTTTTAAATCCACGCCTATGTGGCTTCTTGAAAAAAAAAAATATTTTTTAAAATACCACGCCTATGTGGCTTCTTGAAAAAAATATTTTTTAAAAAATCCACGCCTATGTGGCTTCTTGAAAAAATATTTTTTTTAAATCCACGCCTATGTGGCTTCGTGAAAAAAATATTTTTTTTAAAAAATTCACGCCTATGTGGCTTCTTGAAAAAATATTCTTTTATAAAATCCACACCTATGTGGCTTTTTGAAAAAATATTTTTTTAATCCACGTCTATGTGGCTTCTTGAAAAAATATTTTTTTAAATCCACGCCTATGTGGCTTCTTGAAAAAATATATTTTTTTTAAATCCACGCCTATGTGGCTTCGTGAAAAAAATATTTTTTAAAAAATCCACGCCTATGTGGCTTCGTGAAAAAATATTTTTTTTAAAAATCCACGCCTATGTGGTTTCGTGAAATTTTTTTTTAAAAAAATCCACGCCTATGTGGCTTCTTGGTAAAAATATTTTTTTTAAAAAAATCCACGCCTATGTGGTTTTTTAAAAAATATTTTTTTAAAAATCCACGCATATGTGGCTTCTTGGTAAAAGTATTTTTTTTAATCCACGCATATGTGGCTTCTTGGTAAAATATTTTTTAAAAATCTACGCATATGTTGCTTTTTGAACATTTTTTTTTTAAATCCGCCCCTATGTGGTTCCTTGAAAAAATAAAGTCTTGTCCTTGAAAAATATTTTTTTTAATTCCACGCCTTATGTTGTTGCTTAAAAATGTTCAAAAATTATTTTGAATTATTATTTTCACAAATATTCTCATCTAATTTTCAGCACCCACAACCACACCGGTAAATCTGGAAGTGATCACCGTATCGCCACAACGCTGCCAGTGCGCCCATCTCGTCTCAACTGAAGCTCCCGTACCCGTTGTCTATTTCGATCGTGATCATATTGGAAATATAAGTGCTGAAACTATACGTAACACCATTGAATTTCTGGAGAATTTCCTACCACCGCCGACCAAGAAAAATAAACGAAAAAATCGTGTTCGTTCACGTTTAGATGAAATGGATATTGAATGAAAATTCTATATTTTTCACAAATCTTTTTTCTAATTCTATTTTAATATCTAATGGATTTACTAATATAGTATTTATTATGTATATGAGTACATGGGTGTGTGTGTGTGTGTCTTAAGTAATAAAATGCATACATACATATCAAAAATTTATATACAAACTAAAAATTAGGTATAAAAAATCTTAAATATATAAAATATATAAAAAAAATATATATTTCTACTAAAAATTAAAAACAATAAAGGTAACAACGAAATTTGGTATGGTTATGGTTCCAAATATCTATCGGGAGGGGGCTTGATCCAAAGGACCATCGGAGAGAAAGGAAGAAATATAAATTTGTATACATATCATTTTTTTTTGGTGTCTTAGCTATATTGAACACTTGCTTCGCTTTTCAAATCATCTCATCTCGTCCCGCCTGCCAAGTTTTGATTACTCCCTTCGTAAAATTTCATCCCAAAACTGCATTCGTGAAACATTGAACTTCTGCTGCTTGCTAATATGAAACGAATTATTTGGCGCATTTTCAAATGCGACATAATCACAAATGGCATTTTCCGAATCATAGGGGAAGGTCTCAGCACTGCATTCCGTGGAGGGGTAAGGTTTACTGTAAAAAAAATATTGAAATTAAAAAAATAAATTTCCGATTTTTTTCCAGGAAAACTCACCGATTCTTGGCAAATTCCACAAAATGCCGAACAAAAGCACTGCTGACTTTGGCATGTGTTGAATTTTTCTCGAAATCAGGAAACAGCAATGGCGATCGGAATAAATAGATTAAATCATCACAATGCACCACACCATAATCGTAGCTGGTCATACCTCCCGAATAGATGGTGCTATACGAGTGGGGTCCTTTATAATTGAAATAGTAGAGATACAGAGGAGATTTGGCAGTATTAACGGTACTGATATAGGTCTTGATCGTATTATAGAATGGATAATGGAAACCACGATCGGTGACGACCTGAAAAATAAATAGAATTTTTTATTATTATTACATATCATCACATTTTCATATTAAAAAGGCACAAATAAAAAATATAGATTACAAGATTAAATGATTTTTTTATTAGTCTTTAAAAATAGATTTCAGACTGGGCCGACTATATGATACCCTTCACCACTTTGGGTATATTATACATATGTATCCTTACAACTGCATGCCAATGTTCCCTCGAAGGAACACACTCATGTCTTTAATTTCATTCGGGCAGATTTAGAGTCGTCCGCGTACCATGGGACAAATTCATGGACAACCATTTATAGCAAAATTGATAAACGCATTCGGTAAGCGCCGAAATACATATGGAAGCTATCGCTGCACCCGCACAAATTTCAACAAAACCCAATACCATCATTCAAGTCTCAATTTGATACATTGACCAAAATTTCGTGTTAATCGGACAAACATTAGGAGTTTGGTGTTAGGTAAAATCGGTCGAATATATGTATATATATATATGTATTTGTGGGAGCTATATCGAAATCCGAACCGATTTTCTCGAAACTTACCACACATCATTCTAAACTCCATTCAGTACTCTATGCCAAATTTTGTGCAAATCGAAGGATATAGAGGAACTTTGGTGCACCATTTACAAAAAATCGGTCAAAAATATATATGGGAGCTATATCGAAATATGAACCGATTTTTACGAAATTTAACACAGATCGTCCTAGACTCAATTCAGTACGCTATGCTAAATTTGGTGGCAATCGATGGATAGAAAGGGACTTTGATGCACCATTTACCTAAAATCGGACGAAAATATATATGGGAGCTATATTTAAATCTGAACCGATTTACACAAAATTAAACACACATCCTTCTAGTCTATGCCAAATTTCGTACAAATCGAAAGTTATATAGGGACTTTGGTGCACCATTTACAAAAAATCGGACAAAAATATATATGGGAGCTATATCGAAATTCGTACCGATTTTCCCGAAACTTACCGCACCTCATTTTAGAATCCATTCAGTACTCTATGCCGAATTTCGAGCAAATCTAAGGTTACATAGGGATTTTGGTGCACCATTTATTTAAAATCGGACGAAAACAAATATATGGGAGCTATATTTAAATCTGGACCGATTTTCACGAAATTTAACACACATCCTTCTAGACTTAATTCAGTACGCTATGACAAATTTCGTGCAAATCGAAAGTTACATAGGGACTTTGGTGCACCATTTATCTAAAATCGGACGAAAATATATATGGGAGCTATATTTAAATCTGGACCGATTTTCCCGAAACTTACCACCCACCATTCTAGGCTCAATTCAATACGCTATGCCAAATTTCATGGCAATCGAAGGATAGAAAGGGACTTTCATGCACCATTTACCTAAAATCGGACGAATATATATGGGAGCTATATTTAAATCTGAACCGATTTTCACAAAATTTAACACAAATCCTTCTAGACTTTATTCTTTACACTATGCCAAATTTCATGGCAATCGATGGATAGAAAGGCACTTTGGTGCACCATTTACAAAAAATCGGACGAAAATATATATGGGAGCTATATCGAAATATGAACCGATTTTCACGAAATTTAACACACATCGTTCTAGACTTAATTCAGTACTCTATGCCAAAGTTCGTGGCAATCGAAGGATAGAAAGGGACTTTGGTGCACCATTTACCTCAAATCGGACCAAAATATATATGGGAGCTATATCGAAATACTAACCAATTTTCCCGAAACTTCCCACTCATCATTCTAGGCTCAATTCAGTACGCTATGGCAAATCGTGCAAATTTCGTGCAAATATAGGAACTTTGGTGCACCATTTACATAAAATCGAACGATAAATTAATGGGAGCTATATCTAAATCTGAACCGATTTTCACGAAACTTAACACACATCATTCTAGACTTAATTCCGTACGCTGTGTCAGATTTCGTGCATATCGAAAGATATATAGGGACTTTGGTGCACCATTTACATAAAATCGAAGTATAATATATGTGGGAGTTATATCTAAATCTTAACCAATTTTTCCCAATTTCAATAGGGTTCGTCCTTGGGCCGAATAAGTGACTTGTGCCAAATTTCATCTAATTCGAATCAAAAATGCGACCTGTACTTTGTTTACAATTTAACATGAACAGATAGACGGACGGACATGCATAAATCGACTTAATGGGACATCCCCCCCATTCTCGGCGTCAAAATTAAATTTTTTTATTTAATTAGAATCTACACTACTTCAAGAATGTCCCTACAAAATTTCAAGTGAAAATCTCAAGAACTCTTGAAGATATAGTCGATTTATTGTGTCAGCATCAAGTGACGGCTGAAGGGCTTCTCAAACTTTAAACGCGTTTTTCTCTTTTGCGAATGGCGGGCACGATAACTCAAAAACTAATAACCCAATCGATTCCAAATTTTTACACGTTTCTCTGTGAGTGTATAGCTATTGTATGAACTAGGATTAAGCCAATCGGTGAATTTCTTTCTTTTTTAACTTGGTTTTTGGTCAAAAATCGGCGATTTTCCAAAAATATTTTTTTCAAAGGTCCGCCATTTTGTTAATTTTAGAGCGAAGACAGTAATCCTAGTTCATACGAGAGCCAGACATGTACTCTTTCGAACACCGTTGGAATATTCGGATTCCGATGTTCCAGTGAGGAGTTATCATGCCCGCCATCAAAAATATGAACTTCTCTTTAATAAAAAAACAACAACAAAGCAATTACATTTTTTTTTTTGGAAATTATTTTTCTTCTTTTTTAAATCTTCAAATATATATGAGCAAAATTACAAACCTTAACAAGCATAGGCATTGATTTACTAGCCCATTGAAAATCTTGAAAAATTAAAATCGAGAATGGGGGGGGGGTTCCCTTAAAAGATATTTTTTAAAATTAAAATTAACGTCTAGTGAAATGCCAATGCACTAACTACCCGTTCACTGGTGCGTATACACTACCATTGAAAACAACCGATTACTCATACGCAATGGAGGTCCACAGCAAAATTGGGAGAAGGTCTAAGGAAGAGTTGATGATTAAAATAAATTGTAAAAGACCAATCAATGTGGTCTAGAAGCGTAAATTTTCAAGGGTACAAATTTTTAATGGTGTAGAGGCGATAATTTCAAGGAATATTTTTTTTCAATTTTAATTTAAATCAATTTCAAATAAAACTCAAAACTGCATACTTACATCAATAAAACCACGATTCGACAACTCATGCTTCCCCTCAAAATACTCTCTTACAATGCTGTCCATCGAAGCTTTCCGCCTCTGACCACCCAGACTTTTTGGCAATTCCAAAAACTCCTCCAATAAATTATCAAAATCTTCATTGAATGTTTTTCGCAGAGCCTGTGATTCAAGTATGGCCACAGCACGTACCGCGCCCTCATCCGGTACAACACCAGTTATAAATGGCACTGCCTTATAATCACCCCGCTTTAATATCTCTTCCGGATTTTCTGTAAAAAATGCATCGGGGCTATCGAAATTTTCCACCACAGGCCGATACAACGTCAACGGATCAACATCCCAATATTTAATGGCATCTGCTGCTTGCAACAATGTCTCAGCATCAACCGATCGGAGGGCCTTCAACAACTTCGCCGTACTCAAATGCTCGGCATTTGTGATGTTACAATGTTTGGCTGTGGCCTGGGCCAATCGCAATGAATTCTGTTTTATGCCAAAGGGTACATTTGCCGTTCCGCTCATTGATATCACGCCATGAAAGAGGCCCTCTGAATGTTTGCTCAACATATGCATGTGGGCCGACACCCCACCAGCACTTTGTCCAAACAGTGTTACCTGTTTGGGATTGCCACCAAAGGCGGCGATATTCCGCTGTACCCATTTCAATGCCAGCGTTTGATCTTTGAGGCCGAAATTTCCCGGCACTATGGCGTCCTCGGTGGATAGGAAACCAAAAACACCTAGACGATAATTGAAGGTTACTAAAATCACATCTTCCGTATCCATAAAATATTCGGGACCCACAATTGTTGGATTCACCGAACCGGTAAACCAACCACCCTGATGAATGTACACCATAACGGGTAATTTTTCTGCAGTGTTGCGTTTCTGGGAGAAAGTTGTTTGGAATGAGGGTTAGGAGAGAGGATAGCTATTAAATAACTGTTTACAACTTACAATGGGCCGGTACACATTTAGGTAAAGGCAATCTTCCGTGCCACTTGATTGGGGATTCGGGATTAGACTATTTTTCTGTATGCAATCCGATTTGGGCACTGTGGCATTAATTACATCATTCGAACGGGGATAGGCTTTGGGGTGCTGTAAGGAGAATAAAAGAAAGAAGCAATTGGTTGAATTTGTTAAAGACGATTTTCAGAGACCATAGTAGAGTGACAAATTTTCAGGGCTGGTATGGTTTTTAATGGGGTTTTATAGACGTGAGTTTAAAAAAATATATTTTTTAAGGCCTAAAATAGGCGTGGATGCCTTCACCACACTGTGGTACAGGTATTATGTCTTTGTACATATGTTTTCAACAAGCAAAAGGAAACGAGATGGATTCCTTTTGAGAATATGCATAGAATCACTTTCTAAGTCGATTTATGCATGTTCGTCCGTCCGTCTGTCCGTCTATCTGTCTATCCATGTTTAGTTGTAAACAAAGTACAGGTCGCATATATGACCCGAATTGGGTGAAAGTTGGCATAGGTCACATATTTGGCCCAGGGACGAACCCTATTGAAATTTGGGAAAATCGGTTCAAATTTAGATGTAGCTCCCATATATAGTTTTGTCCGATTTTCAGTAAATGGTGGACCAAAGACCCTATATATTCTTCGATTTGCAGGAAATTTGGCATAGCGTACTGAATTAAGTCTAAAACGATGTGTGTTAAATTTCGTGAATATCGGTCCAGATTTAGATATAGCTCCCATATATATTTTCGTCCGATTTTATGTAAATGGTGCACCAATGTCCCTATATATCCTTCGATTTGCACGAAATTTGGCACAGCGTACTGAACTGAGTCTAGAATGGTGTGTACAAAGTATCATGAAAATCGGTTCAGATTTAGATATAGCACCCATATATATTTTCGTCCGATTTTTGATAAATAGTGCACCAAAGTCCCTATATATCCTTCGATTTGAACGAAATTTGGCATAGCGTTCTGAATTGAGTCTAGAAGGATGTGTGCAAAGTTTCGTGAAAATCGGCCCAGATTTAGATATAGCTCCCATATATATTTTTGTCCGATTTTAGGTAAATAGTGCACCAATGTCATTCGATTTCCACAAAATTTGGCATAGCGTACTGAATTGAGTCTAAAACGATGTGTGTTAAATTTTGTGAAAATCGGTTCAGATTTAGATATAGCTCCATATATAGTTTCGTCCGATTTTCAGTAAATGGTGCACCAAAGACCCTATATATCCTTCGATTTGCACGAAATTCGGCACAGCGTACTGAATTGAGTCTAGAATGATGTGTGCAAAGTTTCGTGAAAATCGGTTCAGATTTAGATATAGCTCCCTTATATATATTCGTCCGATTTTATGTAAATAAGGCTCTAAAGACCCTATATATCCTTCGATTTGCACGAAATTTGACATAGCGTACTGAATTGAGCCAAGAATGATGTGTGTAAAGTTTCGTGAAAATCGGTCCAGATTTAGATATAGCTCCCATATATATTTTCGTCCGATTTTACGTAAATGGTCCACCAAAGACCCTATATATTCTTCTATTTGCACGGAATTTGGCATAGCGTACTGAATTAAGTCTAAAACGATGTGTGTTAAATTTCATGAAAATCGGTTCAGATTTAGATATAGGTCCCGTATATATTTTCGTCTGATTTTATGTAAATGGTGCACCAAAGACCCTATATATTGCTCGATTTGCAGGAAATTTGGCATACCGTACTGAATTGAGCTTAGAATGATGTGTGGAAAGTATCATGAAAATCGGTACAGATTTAGATATAGCTCTCATATATATTTTCGTCCGATTTTAGGTAAATAGTGTACCAAAGTCCCTATATATCATTCGATTTCCACAAAATTTGGCATAGCGTACTGAATAGAGTCTAAAACGATGTGTGTTAAATTTCGTGAAAATCGGTCCAGATTTAGATATAGCTCCCATATATATTTTCGTCCGATTTTATGTAAATGATGTACCAATGTCCCCATATATCATTCGATTTGAACGATATTTTACATAGCGTACTGAATTGAGTATAGAATGATGTGCGCAAAGTTTCGTGAAAAACGGTTCAGTAGGTACTTTCCTTCCTGGTTAAGGAATATTTTTTCAAGGCCTAAAATAGACTTGAATTATTTTAGAATTCTTTTTCCATGGTCTAAAATAAACTTGGATTTTTTAAGGAGGCTCAATTGGGTGTTGATTTTCAATACTTACACTAAATCGTAAATCCCCAACCGGTGGCAGGGCATATGGTATTCCCATAAATGCCTCAAAACTGGATATCCGATAACCAGGCATCACGGTGCCTATCATACAGCCGGCAAATGGTGCACAGACCTTGGGTTGAGCTGGTAACCGGTAATCATAACTTCCTTCAACATTTTGCTGGATCGCCGGTGGTGATGAGGTTATGACCTGCGACACAGTGAACACCAAAGGAGTTATCGCAGCAATTAGACATTTAAAGAAAAAACACAACATGTTTCTATGGGAAAGTTCGAAATCTAAAAATAAAATAAATAAAAATACAAAACAATGCTATAAATAATAAAATCGAACAACAAATATCAACAACAACAAATTTATTAATTAATTAAAAATCAGCAAAATCCAGCGAATTGATTTATATTTGCTTCTGCCATGGAACTTTTAACACATTTAATTAATTAGTACAGCAATAAAAACAACAAAATGCCAATACAACACACATTTCAAAACTAATCAACATAATTAAATGTGAGCTGGCTAATTTATATGCGCCGGACAGATTAGCGATTTCTAAGCGCCATCTATCTTTGTGAATAATTTAATGGGTCCAAACATTGTTGCGATTTAATGGCTGTATCCAAACGGTGGCCGATCATTGGTTGGTAGGACAAGTTGGTTGGTTGGTTGGTCGGTCGATAAGTTGTTCTTGTTTCGATTTGACAGATATATTTATTGGCGGGGATTTTTCTCCCATCCAAACGCCATTATGTTAGGCATGATGTCAACATCTATTAAAAAACAATCAAATCCAGTTGGTTTTTTCGGCAATCGTACCTATGGAGAAAATCCGGTTCCATGGACCCCAAAACGTTGCTGAGCGTCATATCTATTTTTGGAATGGCGCTAAATTTATTCTTTTAGGCTCGCGCACACACACACACATAGCAAATTTAGCTACTGTGATAACAGATCTAAATTTAGCCAAGCGAACGTGTGTTAGCCGAAGTGAAGATCGTTTTTTTTTTAATAATTGATAACACAAAATCGTGAATTGACTGGAGGTCTGATAGTAGCCAATAACAGTGTTTTCATTTTGTGATAGGTCAGTTATTGGTTATGCTTGACTCTTTGCTAGAATTTAATGAGAGTGAGAGGATAGAGAGAAAAATTGAAATATATATTCATTTTCATGATAATTTCGAACATACACGATTTTTCTATTGCCGTAATATTGTTAATGGGAATTTAAAACAAGCGGGGATTTTTTAAAAATATTTTTTTTCAAGGTCTAAAATAGGCGTGGATTTTTTAAAAATATTTTTTAATGCCTATAGAAGGCGTGGATTTTTTAAAGAATATTTTTTCAAGGGTCTACCAAAGGCGTGGATTTTTTAAAGAATATTTTTTCAAGGGTCTAACAAAGGCGTGGATTTTTTAAAAATATTTTTTAATGCCTATAGAAGGCGTGGATTTTTTAAAGAATATTTTTTCAAGGGTCTACCAAAGGCGTGGATTTTTTAAAGAATATTTTTTCAAGGGTCTACCAAAAGCTTGGATTTTTTAAAGAATACTTTTTAAGGACCTATACAAGGTGTGGATTTTTTTAAGAATATTTTTTTAACGACCTATAACAAGGCAAGGTTTTTTTACGAATATTTTTTCAAGGACCTATAAAGGCGTGGATTTTTTAAAGAATACTTTTTTAAGGACCTTTTTTAAAGAATATTTTTTGAAGGACCTATACAAGGCGTGGATTTTTTTTCAAGGGTCTACCAAAGGCGTAGATTTTTTAAAGAAAATTTTTTCAAGGATCTATACAAGGCGTGGATTTTTTAAAAAATATTTTTTGAAGAACCTATACAAGGCGTCGATTTTTTAAAGAATATTTTTTCAAGGACCTATACAAGGTCTGGATTTTTTAAAGAATATTTTGTCAACGACCTATACAAGGCGAGTTTTTTTTACGAATATTTTTTCAAGGACCTATACAAGGCATGGATTTTTTTAAAGAATCTTTTTTCAAACGACTTATACAAGGCGTGGATTTTATTAAGAATATTTTTTCAAACGACTTATACAAGGTCTGGATTTTTTTAAGAATATTTTGTCAACGACCTATACAAGGCGAGTTTTTTTTACGAATATTTTTTCAAGGACCTATACAAGGCATGGATTTTTTTAAAGAATCTTTTTTCAAACGACTTATACAAGGCGTGGATTTTATTAAGAATATTTTTTCAAACGACTTATACAAGGTCTGGATTTTTTTAAGAATATTTTGTCAACGACCTATACAAGGCGAGTTTTTTTTACGAATATTTTTTCAAGGACCTATACAAGGCATGGATTTTTTTAAAGAATCTTTTTTCAAACGACTTATACAAGGCGTGGATTTTTTAAAGAATATTTTTTCAAGGGTCTACCAAAGGCGTGGATTTTTTAAAGAATATTTTTTCAAGGGTTTATCAAGGGCGTGGATTTTTTAAAGAATATTTTTTCAAGGGTCTACCAAAGGCGTGGATTTTTAAAAGAATATTTTTTCAAGGGTCTACCAAAGGATTTTTAAAAGAATATTTTTTCAAGGGTCGGCCAAAGGCGTAGATTTTTTAAAGACTAATTTTTAAGGGTCTACCAAAGGCGTGGATTTTTTAAAGAATATTTTTTCAGGGGTCTCTACCAAAGTCGTGGATTTTTTAAAAAATATTTTCTCAAGGGTCTACCAAAGGCGTGAATGTTTTAAAGAATATTTTTTCTAGGGTTTACCAAAGGCGTGGATTTTTTAAAGAATATTTTTTCAAGGGTCTACCAAAGGCGTGGATTTTTAAAGGAATAATATTTCCAGACCTTTACCAGGCGTGGATTTTTAAAGGAATAATATTTCCAGACCTTTACCAGGCGTGGATTTTTAAAGGAATAATATTTCCAAAGGATTTTTCAAAGAATATTTTTTCAAGGGTCGGCCAAAGGCGTAGATTTTTTAAAGACTAATTTTTAAGGGTCTACCAAAGGCGTGGATTTTTTAAAGAATATTTTTTCAGGGGTCTCTACCAAAGTCGTGGATTTTTTAAAAAATATTTTCTTAAGGGTCTACCAAAGGCGTGAATGTTTTAAAGAATATTTTTTCTAGGGTCTACCAAAGGCGTGGATTTTTTAAAGAATATTTTTTCAAGGGTCTACCAAAGGCGTGGATTTTTAAAGGAATAATATTTCCAGACCTTTACCAGGCGTGGATTTTTAAAGGAATAATATTTCCAGACCTATACCAGGCGTGGATTTTTAAAGGAATAATATTTCCAGACCTATACCAGGCGTGGATTTTATAAAAGAATATTTTTTCAAGGCCTAAAATAGACGAGGATTTTGTGAAGAATATTTTTTCAAGGCCTAAAATAGGCGTGGATTTTATAAAAGAATATTTTTTCAAGGCCTAAAATAGACGAGGATTTTGTGAAGAATATTTTATAAGGCGTATCAAGGCCTAAAATAGGCGTGGATTTTGTGAAGAATATTTTTTAAGACGTATCACGGCCTAAAACAGGCGTGAATTTGTTAAAAATACTTTTTCAAGGTATAAAATAGACTTGGATATTTTAAAGAATATTTTTCAAGGCCTAAATATTTATCATGGACCTATACAGGACAAGGATTAAACAAATTTTAAATAGATTTTGGTTGTGTTCAAAACATTGTAAGGTATATTATTTGATGATTCGATGACAAACATAAATTACCACTACCCCCCGAACAGCATAATCGGAATCAAAATTCCGTCATTTTACTTCCTTAAATATGAAACAATTATCTCTTCAAGTTTGCTTATTTTTTTATTAGAATATATTTTTTTAATTTTGGACTAGCAAGTATTAGGTTATCTTATCAAAAATTCAACATTGTATAGAAAATTCACAAAAAAAATCAATAATCTTGAAAATTTCGGTACTACTTATAATCAATCATTATTTCTATTTTGAATTGGCCAAATGTTATTGCGCATTCATTGAAATATCATTTTGGAAATCTAAAATAAGTCCCAGTGTTTCTCACATTGGAGTTATCAACAAATAGATCGTTCGACCACACAGCTAGGACATGCTGTTATACGCAAATGTATTTGTTGTTATTTTTTGAACAAAGGCAAAATATCTACAGGTCATAAAACTTCTTCTTTGACTACCGAAAATCCGCATGGACTGATGATAATCTCAGTGCTCATAAACTATTTCGAATACTGAGAATACATCAATAAAAAATATCATTGATAGGAGAGATTATTTTTAATCGGGTAAACTCCCCTTAAGAAAATTGTATAAAAATGTGTATTTTTAAAAATATCAAAGACTTGGTCTATTTTTAAGAATTTCTATAACAACTTCTGGGAAATATTTCAAACATTTCTACCCTAAATAAAATCCAGCCGTGCAAGGAAATACAACTTTTTAAATCACTTAATTTTTATTTCAAAATTATATTTTTGTTTTATGACAAATTAATATATTCTATTGACGTCATTATTTGGAATATTCAATTCATGAAAATTATAAATTCAGTGTTTTGTTTTTCAATAATTCAAACAGTGATCTAGATTTGATCATCAAAAAGTCAGACAGCACGTGTGTCATATTTATGTGTCATGAGAATATTAACTGTCATCGTTGAAAATGTGAGAAAAAATGGATATCCTCTTGTGATTGTTTAAAAAAATATTAAAAAAAGTCTCTGTGCTTACTTTGACTCCTGGATATTTTGATAAAATATTAAATTTGTAAAAACAGCGGCTTGTGGGTCCATGGAAAAATAATATTATATTGATAATAACATCTATAATAATATTTTTCAAAAATTCACAAAGAATATTTTAAAAATATCAGGCATTTGTAAAAAAATATTGTTTTTAAATTTCACGCCTTAAAAGTTTTTTTTTAACTAAATATTTAGTGGAGATTGCTTTAAGAAAAAATATTTTAAAAATTTGAATTCTTGTAATTTCTTTGAACAAAATATTTTCATAAAATCCGCGCCCTTTTTGAGGTTAATTAACTTTTTTTTAAATACACCACTTTTGTTAAAAAAATATTTTGCTTTAAAATATATTTATTTTTTTTACCAGGCTGCTTGCATTAGAAATTCATGAATTTTTTAAATATTGTTTTAAAAAACTATGTTGAGTGGTTACATTGAAAACAAACAAAAAATTTTATACAGTCCAC